GTGTGTGTGTGTGTGTGCGTGTGTGTGCGTGTGTGTTTGTGTGTGTGTGTGTGTGTGTGTATATGTGTGAGAGCCTATACAGTGTCTGTTTAGGTAGCCCGCCTAGAATAGCTTTGCTAACTGCAGGCTACAAAAGCCTTTATTTCTTTAATTTTAAAAAATAAAGTTAATGTTCTTGTTATTTTTGTGATGTGCGGAAATTGTAGGGGACAAGTTACGTTGCATCCTTTACCAAAGAGAGTCTTTTGCCTCTATACTAAGTATCCCTTGATGTTATGAAACATTGTTTCCATTGAATTTTTCTCTTTATAGTGAGTCTCGATGGCATTAAAGCAAATGAAAGTAAAGAAGGACGGGTTTGGATTGGAGATGAAGGCATAAAGGTCGCCAAAAACATCACCAGCTCGCTTCAAAGTTCAGTCAGCAATGGCAGCCTGAGTCTTACTATCAATGGCACAATATTTATACCGGATAAGCAGTCGCTCAACATTTCAGAACCGAAACGCTATTGCAGTAGTGGGCAAGTTTACAAAGATGGATATTGCTGTGAGTGCTTTACGTTTCAACATTAATTGCAGTTATTAGAAGTAGTGGAGTGTGTAATGTTATTTAAGGATGGTGTTCGGGCCCGGACCCGCAATGGGAGGATCTCACGCCACCCAGTGAGACTGGACTTATGACGGGACCACCCTACTGAGGACATTTTTTGTTGCGTTACTAATATGGTATATAAAAACATGTGCTCCTCGCTTGAAGTTATTTTAGTAGTCTGAACAAAACATTTTAGTAGTCGGAACAGAACATTTTAGTAGTCTGAACAGAACATTATGGTCCTTCGAAGCCGGAATTGAGAAACCTTTGCGGAATCAAAGCACTGAGCTGGAAAGTAAACATCGAGATAAACGATTACAGTGTGCATCGTCAACGACAACTGTGCATCGTCAGCGGAGGAAATTGTGAGTGAAATGTCTCTTTTCTTAGTCAAAGCTGAGTTACAAAAGAAAGGATTACCGGCAAAAGGAAAGAAACCAGCTCTCGTGACTCGACCTACTGTTGCTATAAAACAAGAAGAATCTAATCCTCCACCTTTGCAAAACAAAAGTAAGGAATCGACTCATATAGGCTCTAAACAAGCCTTGCCAGCTGACAACGTGCCTGCAGCATCAACTGGTCAACTTTCGTCGTCACAGTCTGCCAATCATCAGTTAAGTAATTTTCAGTTGTTAAGAAG